AATACTCTGCTCATCGATTGATTTCATTATAGATGTCAAAAATAAATGGATGTCATTAAAGCATCTAGCTCCCAGCCTCCACATCTTTTCTAAAGCAAGACTAACATTCACAATCATCAAACCAAAATTATTTGTCTTAACTAATATTGACAATCTTTATCAATTGATTATCTTTGCTAGTGACTAACTAGCACTTATGCCTACCACTCATTAATGCTTCCACAGTATTTTTAACTAGGCTAATGAGAGGTCGATCCAAGAAGCTATAAATTGTAAGCACGCATTCTCTAATTAAAAGGAAAAAAAAAAAAAACTTCTGTAATCTTTAATAATATAGTATATTAGTTTAGTTGGTTCTAGCAATATAGTTTCTTTTTTTTCTAAGGGTCTCTTTGGAGCGGTTGTAGCTTATTAAACAATAGCTGTGAAGCTAATGAATAACAATGTGATGTTCAAAGAGTTCGTTGGTCATTTTAAGTCAGACTGCAGCTAGAAAACTACCACTGTACACAACTAGGAGTGGTGGAAAAACACATATTTCAATAGGAGCTTTTTGAAAATGTTGTCAAAATACAAATTATTTTAACAGATAAAACTGTGGTACGGTGTCGAACCACCGCTCTAAACAGATCCTAAGTTTTCACTTACAGAACCACCGCTCCAAAAGGACCCTAAGTTTTCACTTACAATTTTATGCATCTCTTAAAGAGCCTTTTATTTTGTATGTGCGCAAATCATTGCACAAAACTAATATACAAAATAATTATTCTAACCTTATAAGTTTCTGTGCAACACAATAATCTTATAGTAGAATATATATAAATCATGAGTCATACTTATAATATATAAATGATGAATGATTTTATTTTTATGTTGAATTCTAGTATATTTAATGTTGAATTCTTTTAGGATATAGGGTCTTGTACTGCCTATGGGCTCTACGGGTATAATGAGTCAAGTCTAGCTCGAGCGTCTCTCAGCTTGAGCTTGAGCTTAATTATTTAATTAAGTCAAGCTCGAGCTCAAGCGTCTCTCAGCTTGAGCTTGAGCTAAATTATTTAATTAAATTCAAGCTCGAGCTCAAGCTTAAGAGTTCAAGCACACTCAAGAGCCGACTTGTTTATTATGAAAGAGAGAAAGTATATTAATTCGAGTTTTTGTTATAATAACATGATAAATTGATTGAACAATTAAGAGAATAATAATAAATCACTTGATATAAAATATTAAAAATTATTTTTTGTTAACATTATTTTTATTATTTAAAAGTAAAATATTGAATTTTAAAATAATTTGAGTATATTTTATATTAATTAATTTTAAATGACCTCGTTCACGAGCTAATTAGAGTTAGAGAGAGAGAGAGAGAGAGAGAGAGAGAGAGAGAGAGAGAGAGAGAGATAGAGATACATAGGGATTCCCCAAAGAGAATCTGACCAAATATAATCTGCTTCACCTTTCATTAGCTTATAGGTTTCCTAATTTAGATTCAGCTCTATAATATTCAAAATTCAATCTGGGCTAAATCAGATATTATATAATAAATACAAAATTAATTTTAAAATAGTTTAATGATATAATAACTATATACTAATAATATTTACCAAATCAATATGTAATATATTAAATCAGGATATTTAATTTTTGAACATTTTGGGTATGATTTAAAATTAAAATTTTGAGATATGAAATTTTAATTATTTTTTTTATTTTCTACTTTAAATCTTTTATTGTTAGCCATCTAATTAAAAACAAAAGAAATATATATATATATATATATACTAGTCTGCCAGTTTCATCACTAGCAGATTATGTGCTAGAAACATGAGTTGACATGGAAAGAAAAAAATGTTAATTGGAGCGGGACAGAGAAAAGGAGACAGTTGCTGTTAGGTGGAAAAGACCGGCCATTGTAGCCATCAGGCAATAAAGTTGGTACGAAAAATGGGAACATTTACACAGGTGAAGAAAACAACACACACACGCTTCCGTTTTTCACTAAACACCAGTCTTTGCTTTGTTACATCAATCGCTTTTAACAGGATTTCCTTTTCAAAAAAAAAAAACTATTTTCTTACAAAGTTTGAAAATGAAATTTGAAAATTTCTATTATCAATTATAATATTAATGCAATATGGGCATTTACAGTTGAAACTAAAGACCTGTAAGTCATACAGAGAAATTATTTTGTACGCGATCTCCACCACTGATCACCGTGATCAAAATTTTTTTTAAAAAAAAAACTTAAAAATGAGGCCCACCGAAAAACTTTTTTGAGGTGATCGATGGCGGAGATCGGACACCGCATGCATCTCTGCATGCGGTGTTTGTATGGAATATATATATATTATTTTTTTCCTCTTGTGGAAATAAGGAGCATATTAGAAAAATATGAACGAATTACTGATTTATTGTCAATCGATACATCGGTGCACATCTAGTAGTATAATAGTGTATACATTTAAAATCATTGTCATCAAAAACTATGATGCTTATTATCTCCACCAAGATTAATATCAACTTTTCTAGTCTCCAATATCTCCTAATGCAAGATGAATGGTTAAATAAATCATTGATCGTCTCTTAATGATAGCTATAATGCTCAAGCCTCCTATTTCCATCTTCTATAAATTCATCAATTATATCATCTTAAAAAATTTAATAACTATGACAAAGTGCATCCTTTTATAATCTACAACTCACATTACCGAAATCATTTTAATCGAACAAGTATTTCTTCTTATTTTTTAATCAGCTTATAACTAAGGTAATGAATAGCAAGCATGAATTCCAAAAGGAATTATTAAGGAATAACTATTATTCTTAAATGTCCATAGTTAAGCCTAACATTCATGTTCTAAGCTATTATTCTTAATCATTCCAAACATGCCCTTGTAGTTCATGCAAATTCCAAAAGCCCCATACAACTTACTTGTGGTGCATCACTTTATTCAATATGGAATATTTCATGGTAATACTTTTGATCATAGTGCTAAAAAAATAAAAACAAATAAATAATAATTGAGGATTCAATCATGAAAGGAGCCATTCATTGTTGCTAGTGGGGTAGGACAAGGGGACACAAAGGGGACAAGGTTTGAAGTAAAAATGTTAGGATTGCACTGTTGAAGAAGCAAAGAGGGAATGGACTCCAACTCTAAATCTTAGCTTTGCCCACCAATAATTTTTTTCAGAAAGGAAACTAAGTGGCTCCCACTCTCTCCCTTCTTCCCCTTCTTCTTAAAAAAGGAGGAAACTAATGAGGAAAAAAGAAAGGGAAAGGGAGACCGATGGACCTCAGCATTACTGAAGCAAGCAGACAAGCTCATGTGCAGAAGGCCATGCTTAAAGCGACCCATTTGTCTCATCTAAAGACACGGTCGGCCCACCACCTTTGGTTTTGACTGTGACAAGCATCAATCAATAGATAGGCCGTCTAGCCCGGCCCATTTAACCTTTATAGTTTTGAAGGTTTTAGTGACAGTTTCTGTTATATTTTTTATTTTTTTCATCACATAATTTCTGTTTTTAGGGTGTTAGATGGAAGTAATTATTGAAGTGGGCCACAAGGTTGGAGCTTTCTTAGCTTTCTTTGATATTGATTGAATTGCAACTTGAACTGCAAAAATCACCGAAAGCAACACATGCTTGAAAAGACTCATATATTTTTATCATAAAATATATGTTTTTGAGTGTTTAATCCAAATTAGACTTGATATTTATGGGATTTTAATCCTTTGGGTACCTTTGTGACCTGAAATTGTCCCGACCTGACTTAAAATATTTAATGAGTTAAAAAGTTAACCCGAAATTGACCCATATTCAATCTGACAGATCAAAATCCGACCCACAAAACCTATTTATTTATTATTCAATCTGACCTAAATAAACTTTTAAGTTCGGGCTGATGGGTCCGATTTGAATTTATTTTGGGTTGACGAGCTAGGCTTTGGTTCAGTTTAGAGTTGAGGTCAACCCAAATCCGACTCGAGAAATTGATCAAGTCAAACCAAATTCAAATTTTTTTTTGTCTGATTCGAGTCGAGTTGACGTTCACGAGTCAATTTTGATACCCTTATACTAAATACGTTTACCATGAATGAGGGACAGTTGTGACTTTCAAGAGGGGAAAGTTGTGACTTTTAGAAGCTGAATGATTTTCTTTTATAAATAAATAATAATTAAAAAAAAGTAAGGAAAATGTTTGATGAAGTGGCTAATTATGGTTCAAACATTATAATTTTTATCCTCATTGATTTTTATTTACCATATTTAAGCCAAATTTCAAAATATATTTTTTAAATAAATGGATTAATTACAATTATTATTATTTTCTGATCCAAAATTATTAAAATATTTTGGCACGTGTACTTCGAGCAATAAATAAAAAAAGTATAAGATTAGTCTATTTATAGAAAACAACAGAAGTCTTGAAATTGTGGTGGCAGATTGCCACATGAACACGTTACTTGTAATATTGCATGGTATGAGATGAGGGACTAATAATTTTCATGTTCGATAGGGCGATACATGAGCCCCGGTTAAGGCTGATTATAAACTTCATAAATTTTATTTTATGAGAAAATAAATAGTACAATTATACTAATTATTTTATTTGACAAGACTTCTTAAATTAGAAAATAAAGAACATTAATTTTAATTTGCTCAAATAAAAATTATTTGTGTTAAAATTAAGTAGCTCAATAATTTACTCATTAATCTACACGATGATGATAATTGATTCACAGTACTTATGAGCATCAAAATAATTTTAAGAAATGGATCGGACATTGAACTACTAGAGGGATTTAAGGTTCAAAAATTCTGATAAAATAAATATTAAAATGATTTTAATTCAAAAATACAATAATAATAAATATCAAAATGTACTTTCATTTTTGGCATCCAATAAAAAATTCAGAAGCATAGTTATCATTTAAAAGAATATATAAATACATATTTATATTAAAATGGTGATGAAGATAAGATGCTCCTGAATATCATCAAACTCAGCATTTTTATGACAATAACTAGTGGAATATAGTAAGCTCTCAATGCTTGTGAAGAGATACTACGGCATAGTCTGATCGAATGAAAGAAACACGAAAATGAAAAACTTGAGACAATTCAGTTCAAAATAGGAAAAAGAAACTAACTAATCCATAATGGCTGCTATATAATAACCTAATTGTTTATTGAGCCTGTAGCATATGAATGGCATGATAATTGAATAGAAACAATGGAATAAAAACAAATTAGCTCATCTGGTTAGACGCTGAGAATGGCAATAACTGATAAAAGCTCCCTAAATTACCATGCTTTCTAGAAGCTCTTTGGAGAGGCCTCCTTTTCATTCTCCATAAATGATCAATTTCACTGTAACATTTTAGAAAGTTGCTGTCTTTGTCAACAGCATCTACAATCTCTCCTTCCAAACAGGAGCCAAACTTACCAGTCTGTTTCCTCCGCTTAGATTCATGGCAAGCAGGAGTTTGAGGTTCTCCATCATTTCTTGTTCTGCAAATTATAATAAAAAAGTCGAACAGGCTTTGGGAAAAAAAATTGTAATGAAACGCTTGCATTAAATTGAAAATTAATACGATGATCAAATTGACCCTTAGGATGGCTTCTCAAGGTAAGTATATCAACAATGACTATTCAAGAAAAGTGGATTTTTTTTTTTTTTTGGATTGGATTTGTGATGCCAAAAGGCCTCTCAAGAAAGTAAAGTTCGCACTTTTAAATCAAGCACAAAAGCAAATTTTTTTTTAATCATTTTGAAGAGAAGAAATCACTTTTAGATAACAGGAAGCTAGTAGAATAACTTGGAAGAAAAAAAAAATCACTAGAATAGCAATAAAGTCATAGTTTTTACCGATACCGTACCTTTCTTCATGATATACGGGACGGGGAAAAGAGACTAATTTTCCATTTAATGGCTTGCAAGCTGGACAAAGAAAAGCCTTGCGAGGTGCTTCGTGCAACTTAAGGCAATCAAAATGGTACCACTCATCACAATGGTCACAAGCAATCATGGGTCTACGGTCATCAGGCTTCCGACATATACAGTAAAGTATGCTACGGGTTCTCAATAACTGCATTAATTCAAACATATTAGCAAAGAGACTAAAATATTGGACAAGCTGCATTTAGTATGGGTGCAGCGACAGACTACCTTCATCTCCTCGTCAAAATGGACGGGCAAACTTTCTCCTTCGATCATCAGTTCGAAGACCCGACTCAATGCAAGTTCTCCTAAATCAGACACAGCCTACATCAAGTCAAAAAAAGTAGAGTAAGCCAACGCTTAAATGCAGATACTGATTGGGCAACTTGAAATAAGTTAGTTAGCAATTTGGCTAGGTTAAAATTCAAGCCGAACTTTCAAAGGCAAGATGTAGCAGCAGTTGAAAATTTTTTGGAAAGCCTTTGCTTGCTAAATTGGCCAAATATATATATGAGAAATTTTCTCTTATACGATGAATAATTATTCTTCTCAAAAGTCTATTCTAGTACCTAAAGCTTTAAAAATCTTCAAAAATAAGATTATATCGTCGATTATGATCTTCAGCACAAAATATGAATTGGCTTTCAACAATTTTTATGACAATTTAAGCATTCATCAAATGTGTCAAAAATGCAAGGAACATCAATTGAAATATAAAACCCTTTAAAAAATTATGTTTTCCTTGTATGTTTCACCAATCAAAATCAACCCATTTATACAACAAATCAATGCCTGCTTATCCGATGTGGGATTATTTGGAAGTCATTTATCTTATCATACAATCAAAGAAAACTATTGGAAATATTGATATGCATTCAATTGGTAGCTAAACTACTATGAGCAACCATAGATTGCTCCTTGCTTCTGAAAGTAACCAGGTTTCCCGTTGGAGTATTATGTAATTATTCCTTTTTAAAATCTACATCCATGAATACCTCAATACTCATTTTTTTCCTAATCCTGAAAAAAACCTTTAACCAACTTCAGACCAACTGTCTCAAAGATCTTTTACACACTTTCTATGTTCCACATATAGAGAAGGCATGTATTTGTCCTATTGGATTACTATCCTGATAACAAAGGCAATATCTAAACTCATTTAATATGGTATCTCCCAACAAATTAATGGTATCTCTCCTTGCCTTTAGGAGCAACATCTTCTATCATGTTAAGCTTAACGTTTTAACTTAATAGGTTCGCTAAGTTACAGTTTATATGTTTCATTCAATAGATTGAATATTTCCACTAAAAAACTTAAATGCCATTCTTTTTTTTAGCTACTTCCACTGCTAGGAAAAACTTAATTTATGATTGATCCTTAATTTCAAACCAATTTTTACATGTTAATTTTTCAATTGCTTTTCTTCAGTGACATCAGCAATAAGGATAATAGCATCAACTTACATGCTGATAATAAATTTGTACTTCTCTTTCAATCACATGTATACTTGAGAAATTGGATCAGATTGAATTGTACTTGAATGTATCTGATGCCTCCTTATTTTCTCTATGAAACGTTCAGACCAAGCAATGTGTGATTGATTTAATCCATAGAGGGACAGTTTCTCTAAAGTCAGGCGGGAGGTCAATGTATGCCTCTTCATCGAATTGATAATTAAGAAATGTATTCTTAACATCCAGTTGGTATATTCTTAATAGGCTTGTAAATCCTTTTTTTTTCTTAAATGCTCGTAATTCTCCTCATGGCCCAAAATCTCATGTTAAAGGCATAACCTACAAGATTGTTTCAAAAGGTGGTGTCTTGAAGAGGTCATGTTAAGAAGGGAAGGGTATGGAAAATTTGGAATGCGTCAGAAAAATATATTTACCTAAAGACAGTTAATGGAAGATGAGGCTTCTCAGAGCACTCATGACTCTGTCTAATGATCAAGATCCACCTCTTGGTTCAATATCTTATGCTAATGCATGACCTACAAGATCTTATGTTAGTGCATGACTAACAGACGGTGTGACTCAAAAAAGATTATGTTGTGAAGAATGAATATTGAAGGTTTGGAGACCTTCAAAAAAAGTTACCGAAAGATGCTAAAAAGGTATTGATTTTTTCTCCTCTTGGGAGGAACATCACATATCTTGATCTGGTTAGATTTTGATGTAATGAGCTTCAAAGCAAAAATTAAAATACACCATTCTTATTAGCATCCTTAAAACTACTATCACACATGATTTAAAAAATTGCTAAAATTTTTAAATCATCAATAAAAGAAATCAAAATTTTCACAATGGATTGATCCGATTGGATGTGAAGATGATTTTGCACGGTTGATGGCCTAAAGTTACCAATATAACCTACGAAAGTATGTACAGTGAAAATACAAAAAATTCGCAATAAAAAAGGTAACAATTCTTAAGTAGGAAAAATCAATTATTAGTATCAATGTAAAAATATTCAATGGTTTTCAAAATTTAATTTGCACACGGAAATTAATTTATGAATGCTACAATTTAGCAAAAATCTAGTTCAAACCATGAAAATAAAATTTGGCACATATCACAGTAGAGAAAATCAGGCATAACACGAAAACCAATGACTTAAAAAATAACGATAACATTATAGAAATCACCAGAAGAAAGCAAGATGATGCACACTCATAAAAAAAGAATTATCATACCAACATCTATGTAGTATTAAATGAATACAAATCCAACCAGAACACATAAAATTTAAATGGTCAATATGATCTACACCTCCAGAATCCGCAGGGTTCTATTTATAGGTCACAAAGGACTCACAAAAAGAAACATCTCTGAGAACTTAGGTTCCCTCAAGACAACAAAGAAAAATAATAGATGAGTGATGACACCAAAACAGAACAGACAAATCCAATATCTAAGAGGCAGTAGCAGCGAGATTTGCAGGATAGCAGAAACAACACAATTATAATAGAAATTAGCAGTAACATAGGTGTAGTAGAATATCCGAGGCAACATGGTTGTAGTAACAAGAAACTATCGGATGAATAGATGATACTAGAGAGTAAAAAGTGAAGGTAGCAACAATAGCAAAAAACTTTATAATGAGGGTAGGAGAACAGGAATCAAATGAGTGCAAGAAAAAGACACATCAATAAGTAGTGAATAACCGAGACAGCGACACCAAGATATACAAAGCAGGAAGTAGAGCAATGGTTAGTAAGACAAGGAAACCAATAACATGGCACAATATTCAAAATGTTAGTATCCTTCCAACTCTTCTCATCACAACAACTATGGAATTGAATCTAAACTCTAAATTTATTAGCATATGGGCTGAGTTGAAACCTTGTAGTAATGTATTAAACCTAAAATACAGAGACTTTCATATGGCCTGGAATCAAATACATGAATTATTTATATATCTTGCATGAAGTGGGCATGTACATTTAAGTACTACAAAATCATAAATCTCGTTTTAACTCCATTTCTCCCTAAAACTGAGATTTAATAAATCCAAGAGTTCGGTTGATTTAGACAATGTAGTGAACATGATTGCACAAAGGGGGAGAAAGATGATAGAAAGAATACAGTTAGCAAGGTGCTCGACATGACTTTCAATGCTTTCAAGTAAGAGAGGGTAAAATATGAGTCTCAGACACATTGGAACTCAAGACCTCTCATCTCCTTCATATGCCATTATTACACCGATGACTTTTAGGAAGGTTCCTATTGTGACCAATCGTGACTTCTCCGGCAACGAAAGATGAGGGATAGGTAGAAAAATTAATTAAAATATTATTAATAAAATTGATAAAAATATTAGGCATAAATATATTACATAAAAGCATAAATCAGCTATACAAATTATCATGAGAAAAAAAATATATTATTTCTTATTAATTGTAATTGCATTAAAGGTATTTTTATTTAACTAAATAAATTACGAGTTAATGACTTCCTCACAATTTAGTTTTTCAATATTCACCAACTTAATAAAAATATCTGCAGTATTCTGAGATATGTATATCTTCTCCAAAAATAACTATCTTCCAGAAGAGAACGAATACAATGATATCTCAGCCAAACATATTTTATCATGGCATGAAAAATGCATTCTTAACTAAATGAATAACACTCATACTCTCACAATGAAGCTTTCCAATCCATGGCCTTTTGCTCAATCCTGTCATAAAGATCTGCAATCAAATCATCTCCTTGCTAGTCTTAGCGATAACAATGTATTTGTCTTATGCAGTTAAAAGTGGAACAATTTTTTGTAGCCTAAAAACCCATATCACTACTATATTCTCCAAAGTGAAGATACACCTGGCTGTGTACTTCTACTAAATGTATCGCCTAACATATTTGAATCTACATATCCCCTGTAGATCAATCATTGCACTTCCAATATAAAGTGCTTTGTTGAAGGTTCCCCTCAAGAATCCGATAATCTACTTAACCTCCTCCAAATGATGTTTGATTGGATTACTCTAACCACTCACACTGGAAGTGAAATCTCTGATCTTGTACATATCGCCACATACATAACACTTCTAATAGCTAAAACATAGAGAGTTCTTCTCATGTTTGTTTGCACTGCATTAAACTTAGGTGATGGTCCCTTAGATGGCTTGAAGTAACTACATAAGAGGGGTACACACTGGTTTTGCCTCACTTATGTTGAATCTGTGTAGGGCTTCTCAACATATTCTGCCTTAAAAAACCTCATCGTATCTACACTCTTGTCCCTATTGATTCTCATATCGAGGACTTTTTTGGTTGACTTAAATTTTTCTCTTAAACTCCCTTAATAATTGCCCATTCAAGTTACTGATCTTCTCCATATCTGCCCCAATAATTAACATATAATCCACATAAGAAAAACAATATATAGCAATTAACAAAATTTTTTATAAAGAAACAGTGGTCTATCTGACACTTCATGCACCCATTGTTTGACATGAACCTGTCAAACCTCATATATCACCGCCTTGGGACCTGCTTCAAACCATAAAGGCTATTCTTCAAACTGTAGACCATGTCTTTTTTCTCCGGAACCTCAAAACCCTGTGATAACACCATATACAATTCCTCTTCCAAATCACCATATAAGAAGACTTTTTACTTCCAACTGTTCCAGATGTAAATCTTCCTCTAATACCAATCGCAAGAAATCTAACAGTTGTCATCTTTACTAGAGGAAAAAATATCTCAGTGTAGTTCACTCCATTTTGTTGAAACTGTTTCACAGGTCTTGTGCTATAGCGTATGCTACCATCTGACTTTTTTTAGCCTGTAAACCTACTTATTGTGCAATGCTTTTTTTCCATAAGATAATTTTGTGAAATCTCAAGCCTGATTTAACCTCAATGACTACATCTTGTTATCCATGACTAATTCTCATTCCTTTGAATCTTCAATTTAAATGGCATCATCATAGCACTAGTTCACCACCATCAGTTAGCAAAAGATAGTATAATGAAGGCAAATACCTCTGTATTGGTCATGTCACTCTGTTAGACTTCCTGAATTCAATAGCAGGTGTCTGACGAACTTCCTGTCATTCATCAGGTTGAGCACATTTCCTTCTCCATTTTCCTGATCAATGTTACCTTATATATCAATATATTTGGACAACTCTTCAAAAGTAGCCAACGGACAATCCTAAGTTATATTCCTATCCTTGTACATCTTCATTTCATTAAATATCATATCAGTGCTCCCGATGAACTAATTCTGATAATCTCATAATATTTACCCAAATTCATCTTTATATCCAATGAAATGGCACTTGATATATTTTAATTCAAGTTTACTTTTATATTTTACATCAACAAGAACATATGTTGAACAATCAAATACCTTCAAATAAGATAGATTTAACTTCTTGTTAGCTCGTTTATAATGTAAGCTTAAAAAAATTGTATTTAGCTTGCTTACTTAGCAAATAATTTGAATATGAGCTACTTAACAAGAAAACACGAGCTAATTTGACAACCCTAAATAAAAGTAAAATAGTGAGAAGCACCAATGAACTGAACTAGAGTAGGACACATACATCAGTATGCACTAACTCCAACTTCTTGGACTTCATTATTGACCCACTTTTAGAGAAAAAATCTTAAATCCTGAAGCGTTTCTTAGAAAGTGGGGACTTCATACCTTTCTTGTTTATTTGACAAATCCTGCAGTGTCAATGACTTGCATCAACTTTTATTCTATTCACATCATTGACTCGGATCTCATTAATCAGGCAAAAATGCCTTCAATGTTGCCCCCGACCCATCACCATTGCCCCCTTCTACAAATCACCTATGAAAGTAAACATGTATCCTAACCTTGATAGTTGGCTCACCGACATCAAATTTCTCTTCAAACATAAAAAATTTCAACTTCAAGATTGTTCAATTTGACAACCTAATATTAAAATTATCCTTTCCTACAATGTTGCAGGTCTTATTATCTCACAAATATATTTTCTTTAGATCACTATGACTGTAATTTAAATCTTTTTGTTTGGACTGACAGTAAAAGAGGCACCTGAAACTATTATCTAAGACTAGTACTATTTAGGGATAGAACTAGAAAATCGCGTTGGATTTCTTCTGTGGAGATATTTGTAAGGAAATTTTTGTCTAGGCCTCCACCACGAACCTTCTTCAGAGTTATATAGTTCTTTTTGAAATGATATTTCTTCTCCCACTTCCAACATTCACCTATGTCAAAATTTCAACCACCAAACTTGAATTTGTCTCTGCTTGTGTTCCTATCTAGATTATTTCCGTTGTTATCAACATTAAGTGCAGGATTTGAAGTTTTATCATTCGCCTTCTTGCGAATTTCTTCATTGAGCACAAGCCATATGATATTATCAAAGTTTAATTTTATATTACCTAAAGAGTTACTGACAAATACATCCCAAATTCTAGCAATGAAGATAAAATTAACACGCTGTGACATCGTCATTAAACTTGATGCCCACATAACATAATTGATTTGTTACAATGTTGAAATTATTCAAAATTTCAACCACCAAACTCTTTTCCACTGTCTTCATGTTGAATAATCACATTGTCCAAAAAACTTTATTTGAAGCTGAAGGCATCCCATACATCTTCATCAGTGCTACCATGAGAAGTATCATAGTTTTCATACTAACAATGTTCAAAGAAACAGATGATAAAAGTAAAAGGTGTATCAAACCTAATGCAATTTGATGAAGCATTTCCCATTCTTTCAGAGTCATAAATTCAGACTTTTTGGTTAGACCTTTTAGTGGCAAATACAATTTTCTTTGCTATAGCAAATATTCAACTTACATTTTCTAGAATGCAAAGTTCAAACCATTGAACTTATCCACATTGTGACTCGCTTTGTCGATCATTGCTCCCGCTCAAACCAAAGATCCTTAGAAAACCCCGCTCTGATACAACTTCAAGGACAGAGAAACCGAATTTCGATCGATTCACAACCAATCACATCGTGGAAAAACATACCAATACGAGAGATCCAAAATAAAAATTGAACAGAAGTGCACAACACAACAAATCCAGAAAAGCGCTCAAGATTTAACATGGAAAAACCGAAGAACGAGAAAAAAATCAATGAGCCACACCACACCAGAAATGTCACTATGAAATAGATTACACCACACTCTGAGTTACTCTCTATAAACCTAGAACTCACGAGCACTCTATTGATAGCATAAGAGCAAATCACAGATATCCAAAACAGAACTCGCTGCAGCGCTTGCTCTGTCCCGTCGTGTTACACGCATTGCTGAAAGATATATTTTTCGTATAGAAGTTGAGGACTTAAATCCCAATCAAAAGAGAAACTACTCCAGGGCGCTAGATCGCCCAACCAGGGCACCGAGTTTCTGATGCTCTATTTCCTAATGCTCGGTTCACAGGGTGCCTGAGCACCCCTATTAGCATCGAGGTTGCGTGCTGGGGCGCCCAATGGGGCGCTGAAATGCCCAGGGTGCTTTTATTGTTGTGTTATTAGGCTCCACACACTAACACACAACGACACCAAACGCATAGTAAATGACATGTGCTCACAACTTATTTATTTATTATAGATATTGAATACCTTACAAGTATATTGTCTAATGTACAGAGCTGAATGAAATGATTATTATAACTATAGATTATTATAATATGATTGCATATGCATGTAGACCATTATAAAGTTCATCTCCTTATGGTAGGTACTCATGCATGTAAATTAAAAAATGATATTGATATTGAAGTATATTAACTGATAGGACTTAGGGTCCGTTTGGGGCAGCTTATTTGGTGAGGTGGCGTTTTTGAAAACGCACCTGACCAGTTTGGGTAAACTGCGTTTTAGCAGTTTATGCGTTTTCAAAAAGCTGAAAACAGTGTTTTCACACCGCTTGGCAGCTTTCTGGCAGCGATCTGACTTTTCCAAAAAAAAAAAAAATTTTAATAGCCACCGCACCTAGCTTATCAGCATATTATTTTTAATCAGTTTATCAACAGATTATTCAATAAGCTGCAGCTGCCCCAAAGAGACGCTTAGCCAGTGCTCCTATGACGATTATAATTAATAAAACATAGATAAAGATAAATTATTTACTGTACTACTGAAATATCTAAAACTATTGAATAGCCATAATTCACTACTTAAATAACAATTTCTTCTTTTATACTGATTAGATATTTAACTAGTATGCAAGTTTTTTTCTCTTTCATTACATTACTATAGTTCGAGATATAAGCATTTACTGCTTATTGACAGCTCATTGTGTTTTGAATTACATTTTCAGGTTTAGAGTTTTATTTAGAAGACAAGTCTTTGAATTTCCCATCTCTCTCTCTCTCTCTCTCTCTCTCTCTCTCTCTCTCTCTCTCTCTCTCTCTCTCTCTCTCTCTCCGGCATCATTCAGTTTCCTTATTCCACTACTATATAGTAAACCGTAGGCTATAAAAAATAAAAGTTATGTTTTACAACCTTCTTTGTTGAGTCTAACCATTGCAAACAAGCCTGTTTTACTTTAGCTATTTCCAACATGAAATGATCTTGATGTGTTATTCCCATCTCTAGACCCTGCAATAACAGCATTAGAAACAGTCATTCCATAACAATCGCAATTTCATGATCAGTAATGTACAGCAAACATTTCCATTAAAATTAGGACTTAAGAAAATACTAGCGCGCAACATAAAGGATGGCATTAAACAACTATACGGAACTATAATTTAAATTAATCAAAAAAATACAGGTTAAAAGTTTAGCAACTTTCATACATGATATCTATCACTCAAAGTAGAATTTAATATGCAATACAAATGTAATCTTAACACAAATTTGGAACTGCTTTTTTGATAGAAAATGGTTAATCTTTCGTAAGAACATGGTTAAGAGCATGTTAAGAATCCAATGACTCCCCAGTTTAGAAACTTTTATTCCATAACAATCGTAATTTCATGATCAGTAATGTACAGCAAACATTTCCAAAAAAATTTGGACTTAAAAAAATACTAGCGCAACATAAAGTATGGCATTAAACAACTATACGGCACTTTAATTTAAATTAATCAAAAAATACAAGTTAAAAGTTTATTTAGCAACTTTCATACACGATATCTATCACTCAAAGTTGAATTTAATACGCAATACAAATGAAATCTTAACACAAATTTGAAACTGCTTTTTTGATAATGGTTAATCTTTCATAAGAACAAGGTTAACAGCACGTTAAGAACCCAAGGATTCCCCAGTTTAATGTTTACACCTACCTCTTTTTCTATATGTTTAACATGCTGCATGGTTGTTTTTTTCGCTCCACTCAGTAACGTCTTCACTCTGACATTCCACGCATGTCTAGACAAGGCAGTTTGAAGCTTGTGACAACCATCGTGATCATACAATCCGGCAACTAAAGTTACCTGTAAAAATGATCCCAACATTAGCTTCAAAAGATGAACAGATCTGCCACAGCTGAGTAGGCAGACCATAACAGAACCATAAAAAGAATTAGTACAAAAGATAATAATACGCATGCCATGTTTGAAACAGCAGGGTAAATTACCTTTAAAGCGCATACAAGGTATTCCGAGACGACATTGAAATCCTTATAATGAGTATTTGCATGATCTACCACCCAAGATAAATTGGACTGGCACTCACTAGCAAGTTTAACAATTTCTTGCCCCAAAGTTACCTCTTCAATCCTATTAAACAATTACTTACAAAAATTAAGTTGAATGGAAACTAAAATTAAGCAAATTAATAAAATTGGTACATTTCAAAATCCGGCAAAGCTGAAACTAAGACATGGTGTGTGATGCAAGACTACAGAGATTCTGTGATACTTAGCATCCAATCCTTGTAATAATATGAAATAAAATTATGTGAATGAAGAACATATCATTCTCTGGCACATACAACTTCGTAAGAAAAGAAGTATAGTGAATATTTTTTCATCAAGTTTATTTAGCAAGGATTACCAAATCTGTACAGAGTCAACTTCAGACTGTGTTTCTCCCCATAAAATCAGTTGATCCAAGTCATTTTAAAGATTAATAGCAAGATGAATAATAAATTTCAATAAAAGTCAGCTCAAAGTGCTGTTTAAATGTGGTTGCTTGTGTGAAGCTATCCTAGTCTTAATTTAAGTTATAGCCCGTAAGATGAACTTTCGGATCCAAAAGATGCAATTAATATATGAGAAAAAGAAGTATAATCCATCTTACATAAAGCCCTCTGTAACAGAAATTGGTACGTTTGAGGACTAGGAGATCTTTAACGAGATATGATAAAAACAAGACCATCACTCTGGACATGAGGAGGAAGGGACTACTTAATGTTTAAAATGCTTTAACGCATAATCATATGTTTTTCTAACCAATCAAAACCAAGAATTCTATGTGGAATCTTGGAAGGTAGACTGGGAGATACAGGTGACGCAAAGCACTAATATCCAATGTCCAAAATATGAGCATAACATATGCAGAGGATCTATAAGGAAGATTAAGAGAGACATTTTCTTCACAGCCTAAATGAATTTTTTTACCAAACAAGCAACATGCAGATATTTTCTACCACATATCCTGACGCGGGGCTCCTTGAAGGCTGAATTGGAAATGACTGAACCGGCTCAACCAAGGGATGGCAGGGGCCGACCGGTTCCTATCTATGTTTCATACAGTTCCAAATTTGTTGCCTAGCCACAACCCACCATTCTCGTCCTCTTCCTAGAGAGTCGCTTTTGTTTGCATCGTTTTGTTCCTGTTTTATGAGTCACCGTTGTAACCCCTATGAATTTCAACAATAAAATTTTCATTCCACCTCAGCTTAGGTTAACTCTGGTATCATATCCTGTCTCATAAATGACCAAAACAACAAACCAAAAAGGACAAGAAACATAATATTTTCCACCATTAACGAGCTTTCGTAAACTTGAACTTATAATATTATTATCATAATATTCATTACAACATCATTAGGCTATTCATATTTGCTTATAAATCCTACATCAATTCTTTTCAAATGTTCTATAAGGTTTTAACCCTACATAAATTTGTGGGCTCCAAAAATTCATGCTCGGGCTCTCCCAAGAGAATTTTGATGCTATGACTCAATTTTTTAAAAGATATATTAGACACTCATAATAACAAGCATGCCATCGTAAAACATAAAAACACAAATGACAAACTAAAACACAAAATTCAAGACATAAACTGAAGTAAAGCTCTAGCTTATGTGTCATTATCCCAGGATTGGCAAAAACTCCTCATATTGAGCAATCTCAAACTCTAATTCTTAATGAGAAGCCAACACAGAGACACTGAAAGTGATATAGTCGCTCTAATCCCCAAGTAGGTCAGGTTCGGTGATCTAAGCATCTTCTAACATTATCACGGTTGAAAATGGATCAAGAGGTTTCAACCTCCAATTCTGAAATATATCAATCCACTTGACATCAATTTCTTGAGGAAGAGTGTCTTGAAACTTGGGTTAGAGGCTGCCTATATGCTCCTATAAGACTTGTTGGACATGATAATCAGAATTTGTAAACTTCCTCTTCCAGTGACAGTAGACCTGATACTTTCATGTAACATTGAAGCCAATAAAAGCAAGTGCCTTAGAGGGAACATTTGATGAAAGTTTATCCTTTGATAAAGGTGTATAATGCTCCTTAAAATTAGCACTTCTTACTGAGAGAATTCCAAGTTTCTAATCAACACTCATGGAATTCCAATGGAAGCGTGCTCAGTCCATTTCTTTGATAGATGATGATGGACTTCTTGAATTATTTGACCATTGACTATGGATGGGTCATCAATATTCCACCCCGGGGCTCATAAAATTGAAACAAAATCTGGTTCGCCATATTAAGAAATGTTGGTAGGTAAATCATGTGGATCTACATTCACTCTTCCACCAAACAAACTAAATTCATGAGAACCAGGACTAATAGGAGCTTGCTGTAAGATATTCATCTTGTCCCATATGGAATGCAATGACTGAGCTTTCAACCTTGGTTGGTGTGGAACTAATAATGCCCGATCCATATGATCATGTATAGCAGTCTCATGCTAAAGGCTAAGAGAAGCAGAATCAACATATCTAGTTTAATCACTCTGCAAATCCCTTTCAACATAAGAAACTGCACCAACTCTTCTATCAACTACATTTTCAAGATTTTTCAATTTAGAAAACTGGTGTCCTTTATGAGCATATCCACAATTAGAGGCCAGAAAATATTCATCGCCATACACGCTGTACACGGGCATCGACGATGATTCCAACATCTAATTTTCTTGGTGCAATGGGTCTTCAACTTCTTCCACCACCTCAAATTATGGTTTAGTTGGATAGTCCTCCAAATTTCAACACACCAAGATTACAATCCTATTTTTCAAATGTTGAATTTTTTGTCGTATATCCTCAAGCAGATGTTATTGATGGATTCTTGCATAATTTCTTCACGGTTGCATGTTCAATGAGCCACAAATGATATTGGACTAGTTGGGCTAGAGCAGAGTTCACAGAGAAGAGCCAAGGTGTTGCTTTAAATCTGCATGCAACAGCAAACCAAAATCAGTTGTGTAGAGAATTCTAGGAAGAAGAAAATTGCAAAAAAATTGAGAAAATCCATAGGATAGCAGGGATCAGCGAGACTGCTTGACGTGGGAGCCTATCGTGGACGCGGTACTATGGCTGCTACAGTACCGCGAATGTATTACTACAACAATCACATATCCTTCTTTCTTTTTTAGTTTCCTCATCTCTCCTTTTCACTCCCTTTCATAAAGAGTCCCCTACCTATTCATTGTCTACTTTATCTACCACTATCTACTTTATCTACCACTATCCATGTCTATCCTAATTTCAAATTCATTCCTTTCCCATCACTCCTTTATTTCTTGTCTTTCTTCTAGTAGTCTAATCTATCTACTAACCCCCTCTTATTTATACCTGTTTGCCAAGGAGATGATAGTTTTCATGATTGTTGATTTCAGTTGTTGCTTTTGAAGCGATCTTTCCCTTCGAGAATGTGCCCAACGACGAGAAGGTGCTCAAGCTGTAACTCATTTGAGGTGGTTTATAGTTTTCAAGTGTTGAGGTGGTTTTCCGACTGCAGCTCGACCCCAACGAGACATTTATCCTTCCGCAGTCCCTATGACCCCGCTTCTAGCAGCCACTAACCATCATCCTTGCTACCATCTACTTCCAACGCCTTCCTTTCCACTGTCGACCTCCCCTGCAGCCTCCCGCTAACTGCAGATGACACCAGTCTCCTTATAACAGCCGTCAATCCTTTTCCAGCGACCTCCCTGGCCACAAAATTCCTCCCCGCTGTCTTCCAGCGTCTCTAGCACCTTCCAACTACTTTTTAGACCACACCAAGCGCCTTCTAACCGCTGTCCAATCCACAACACTCATCTTCTGGCAGCTGTCTGATGCATCAACATGCCTCTTGCGCTCCCGGATCTGACGCTCTCTTCCTAAAGGACCATTTATGTGTTTTGTGTTGCTTTCTTTTTCTATTTTTTGCAGTGTCGTCGTTGTCCTTATATATGTTGCATCATCGTTGTAACCCTATTCGAATTCAAAAATTATATTTACCTTCTAATTGTGGTTTGGGTTTCGTCCGGTATCAATTGGTACCAAAGCTAACCTAACCCTAGTGCTACCCTAAGGTTACCTAGCATCCGCCCCTACCCAAACTTTTCTACCTAAAATAAAAAACTTCAACAGATGAAGTCGAAGCTCCCCAAACCCCAGTAGATTGACGTGGAAGCTTATCGTGGACGCAATATAGCAACTGCTACGGTAATTGCTTCCCCTTCTTTCCTTTTTAGCTTCCTCTTCTCCTTTTCACTCCCTTCCATAAAGAATCTCATCCCTATTCATGAACTACCTTATCCACCACCTTTCACTTTTATCCTAATTTCAAATTTCTTCATTTTCCATCATCCCTCCTTTATTTATTATCTATTCTTCTACTTGCTTAATCTATCTACTAACCCTTATTTATGCATGTTGTTTGCTAAGGGGATGACAGTTTTCATAATTGTTGATTTCAGTTGCTTCCTTTGAAGTGTTCTTCATGTCCTCAAGTTGTCACCGACGAAAAGAAAATGCTCCGACTGTAACTCGTTTGAGGTGGTTACCGTCTCCAAAGGTCTGGGTGGTGCTCCGGATGTAGCTCAACCCCGACGAGATACTTATCCTTCTGCAGCCCCGCCGGCCTCGCTTCCAGCAGCCACAAACAATCCTCCTTGTTGCCATCTACTTCCAGAGCCTTTCTTTCCACGACCGACTTGCCTTGTTGCCTCTCATTGACCGCATATCACACAACAACCTCCTCGCAGCAGCTATCGACCATCTCTCAGCCGCTGCCCAGGTCTTCGGGCTTGTCCTGCTGCCGCCAAGGCGCTTCAAGAACAGCACTTGCTGCAGTCAGCCCCTCCAGAGTTTGTTCCTGCTGCTGCCCAGCCGTTAGCACCTGTTCTAGCTATTGTCCAGCCCTCGAACATTGGTTCCTGCTGCAGTCGAGCCCATGACCACCTGCCTGCTGCTGCCCAGACCACCACACTCTTATTTATGCATGGTATTTGCTAAGGGAATGACAGTTTTCATAATTACGGATTTCAGTTGCGTCCTTTGAAGCATTTTTCATGTCCGCGAGTTGTAACCGATGACGAGAAATCGCTCTGACTGT